TCATTTGTCACACCTATGGAACACTACAGAGAATATGAGTAGTATTCATTATCAGTTCTGTTCTTAGACATGAGCTTGTCAGGAAGACAGAGTTGAGATTAGAGACAGAAGGGATTTGGAGAAGGATATGAAAATACTTGATTTATTAATGTACAGGGGAAAGGGCAAAGGGAACATTTATTTAAGAGAAAATTGAGATATTTAAGAGCAAATTAAGCTATTTCTACTAAATATGACTAAGTTTCTTGGGAACAGTTTAGATTATGAAAATTCTTTTGTTTTAGAAGTATGTTATAAAGTTTCAGAGTTGTTTTAAGAACTTCAAGTCCAAATTGCCAGGCATGTGAGCCACATAATGCCTAATAAATATTTCTTCTCTGTATGCGTTTATACATTCTTCAACAAAACAAACATTGAGCCAGCTATAAAATTTGTGTTACTATATGTTGGACATATAATGAAGAATAATACTGATATTTTGTTCAGCGATTTTATAAATTATATATCCACAACTGTAGCCTAGTGAATTTAGTGCCATGATTGAGGGAAGCGTGTGATACTATAAAAACACAGTTTAATAATGGAGACAAACATGGAAACAAACAACTGTAACTTGATATATTATTAATATAAGAGCATGCAAGTGGCTGTTTTAAAATGCAAGTTTTATTATTCAGGTATATTCAGGCCAACAGATCAGGAGATCATTGCTGTTGAAAAAATAGCATGTTACTGTGCAGTTTCCAATAGTAGGGAGCACTCTACATCATGCAGGGAGCACTCCACACCGTCACCATACAGGGAGCACTCCACATCATGTCGGAAGCACTCCACATCATGCCAGGGCCATGGGGGAAGCACCAGGGCCATCTAGGAGATACAGGGCTCAAGGGGACATGTGGTCAAGAGCTGCTATTGTGGTTTCAGTGAGAAAGAACACGCAAAGCTGGGTAAGTAGGTTTAGGATGGCTAGTTTGAATAATTTCAGTGGGCCCTGGGCGTATACACTGTCCCTAGTGACCTGATGCTTGGCCCTGGGGTAATTAGGGCAGGGGAATAGTGGCTCTGAGTGTGAGAGCCTGGTAAAGTAGGCTCTGGCTTGAGTAGCTTGTATATGAAAGTTACACTCCAAGGCCAGTCATTTATTATCTCTAGGAATTGGCTAGCTCTGAGAG